TTACTCTGTGCTTGTCGAGTCTAGGCGTCTGTCATCTTGGTGGCGCGGTTCTTTGCTTCTTTTGTGGTGGGCGCCATCTTTGGCCATGGGGGCGTTTGTTGGTTAGCTGTGCTGGGTCCGGGGCATACCAGTCCATGATTCGCACCTCGGTGAGGTCCAGCGCTTGTAAAAACGGAGTTACATCCTGGTGCGATGTGATCGTGTGGGTGGCTCCCCTGTGAGTGTCGAGGAGGGAAAAGGGAAACCCCAATCTGTACCTGATGGCTCTGGCTCTTAATTGGTTTAAGAGTTCACCTTGCTTGGAGTGTTAACCATGAGAGGTCCTGGTATATTTGGACTTCGTGCCCGTGGAATAGCAGTGGCGGGTTGGTGTCCCGCAGTTTTCTCAGTATATTTTGTTTGGCAACGAAGTACTGCAGTCTGCATATTATGTCCCCTGGGGGCCTCCCCTGCGTTGGTTTTAGGCCTTAGCTAGCGGTGTGCCTTGTCTAGTAAGACTGGTGAGTCTGTTGACTGGCCCAGTATCAAATTAAAAAGCTCCTGCAGGATAGATCTGGTGTCTTCCCCTTCCACCTCTGGCAAGCCCCTGATCCGCAAGTTGTTCCACCACCCTCTGTTGTCTGTCGTCTATGGACCGTTGGTACTGTGACATTTGGAAATCTTGCCTGTCAATCCTGGATGTCAGGGGCTGTATTTGGGCCTGTATAGTGCCCCTGTCATCTTCCAGTTCCTGGACCCTTAGGCCTACCTTCCAGATCTCGGTTCCCAGGCTGTCTGTGAAGAAATGCCCCTCTTATGCTGTAAATTGACATTTTGTATTCCTTTGTTTAATAGTAATGTTCCCTATGGCATTCGGTAGGTAAAACTACTGAATCCAGACCACCCTGTTGCCCATTATACAGACTGTACCTCTTTGCTGGCTGGATTACGTTCGACAGAAGTTCTGCACGAACGGCATGTCTCGCCGCCATTTCGGGACTTCCACATGTGCGCGGCCATTTTATCTCCCGAACAGCGGTGTTTGCCGTCGAGTGTCTGGAACTGAAAACGGACACTCAAATAGGCGAACACCGCTGAAGCCTCCAGACCTTCGGTAAACCCCCTTCCAAGCTACCGAACGACCGGGCGTTCGGTAGAAAGACTTACTAACGGATGAGGAATCATGCGAACCAAGGATAGTAGCTGGATGGCCGGCCGTTCGGGAGGTTTTTCATGCGACCTAAGACCGACTGCAGGGCCAGAATTCATGGAACTGTTTTCGGCTACTTTGCCCGTGCAGTCGGTCAAAACTTCTAAGTCCCATATCTCCCGAACGGCTGAACCGAATGAACTGAGTTTTTTTTATATGTTGGTCCCCCAGAGAACAGCTACCTAAAATTATGTCGGTACCCCAAGTCATTGGGGTACATCCAAACTTTGGGGAAATTCTGTTACGTTTTAATTGTTTAATGGTTATCTGAGGGGAGGAGATGTACAGTATGTATATTGTTAGGATTGGATGTATAGCTAATTATATGGGAGGCTCCCTTGCATGGGCAGAATCCCATAAAAAGAGCATGCCTGTCAATAAACCTTTAGTTCATCTTTGTACCCTTCTTCTGACTACGTATGCTGTTTGGGAGTTCGTGTGTTTTACTGTGGGAATTATCCAGGGACACTATTGGAATTACAATTGGGATTCGTCTACCATAACTACTGTAGGATATGAATATCCATTTTGCTCTATATCCTAACTGTTCATGTAAGGGTTAATTTGAATCAAGAATAAATTTGGAATTGTATCTCATGTCACAATGACTTATCTATTTACAGGAAATGTTATTGGAACATGATTTTGTTATTTACATGACATGACATGACATGATAAGGATTCTGGAATGACCTTGTTAATTGTCCAAGATTTCGGTATTTGTAATCATCTGGGTTTTATCCAATATGCATACATTATGTAACATCGAATTATAACTAAAAACAGCTGTTTATAACTTGTGAAAAACAATGTCATTGTCACGCCCATATGCTCATTTTCCCCCCTCCCATCCTGCTATGAAAATGGGGTATAAATATAACTGACGTATGAATACAATTTGAATTGGTTATTGAACACGTCTCTGCTATTCATTTCCAATTTCCAGAGCTCTGTATGAGTTGGCAAATATCCATCATCCACAAAGGGCCAGGCTGATTTTATCCCCAACAAATTGGTGTCAGAAGTGGGACAACCATATCCTTGCAGGTATAGGAAACAGCTGCAATATGATTTTAATATTTGCAATATATTAGTGTTCTGACAATGGAAAAGTTCCTAACCGCATGTCTGTATTACACCTATGACCCAGACTGTCAGTATTGCAAACCCCATATGAAGACTCTGCTTTCACTGTTTATGTATACACCCCTAGACAACCGTGCTATACAAACACAATAAATCTTCAAAAGCTTATTAATATTATATCTGTGTGGTACACAAATAGGTGTACACAAAGAGGGGGTGTGAGTTAAGTCATCTCGACCTTCATATGGAATATGCTTCCTCCTTGTTCACTTTTGGTCAAACTGTTGGTCTGTGACTGGCCCTCTTTGAACTGAATTTCTTGGGAAGATTCATGAGAAAGATACAGCAGGTTGTTTTGGATATAAAGAAAGAGGGAAAAGTATGTTGTATCGGTCACAAAAGGATTGTGATCTTAAGCAGGCGAGACAAAGAAAGTTTGGAGGTGATAGATTGAATCAGAAAAGTTTTAGAGGCAGAGGTAGAGAATTTGATCAAAGGATTTAACTTTTGTAGAGATGGTAACTTCAGCACTGTTTTAATTGTGGGTAGCAGGGATTCACCCCAAGGTGCTTGTGTTCTCCTGGCCCAGCTGGCATTCAAGGACTCCCACCCTGGCAGGTTCCTCAATACCAACCACAACTTTCAAGCTATACCCACACCCAACAACCTCAGCCTAATACACAGATGGTTCATGTTTTTAATACTTTATATATAGTTTTGATAGATAAAACAGTATTAATGCTGGCTCTTAGAGGATGTACAAGCTGAAGTTGGGACCTAGACATTGTTTGCATAGGCTGTGCAATGTGAAATAACTAAAATAAAATAGGATAATAAGTATGCTTAGTCAATTTGTAAAGTGGTATAATAGAGGCATCTGCAATAAATTAAGTGGGTTTCCAAGACCTGACAAGTGAGAGCAACTTAATATAACATATGTCTACAGTTTGCTGTCCCTTCCTTATCAGAGGCCACTTGCAACACAGCAAGACAACTCTTCCTAAACTTGTATTAAACAAAGCACTTTAGAACAATAGTAATTTATTTTGTTTCTCCTATTTCATTCCTAGTTGTTCTGAAAAAAATATATTGTTTAAGTGGGATAACTGTATGGAGGTTCCAACATGTATTAAAACATGATCACACACATCGGGATCTATAAAAGGTTTGGGTTTCCAAAGATGTTATCAGGGTCCACAAAATTTTATTAAAGTAATTAATTGAGATTATCAAATCAAGGTTTAAGTTTAAGAACAGCATTTTATTGGGAATTATACCAATATGTATATGTTAGTGTTTTAGTACTCAACAAGCATTTATATAGAATGAGTGCTTCTCTCATCCATACAAGGCATTTTAAAGGGAAATTATGTATTAAAATTTTATAAAGGACATAAACAAAACTGAGAGACGTACATGTTACACTAGTTAAGAGTTTAACTTTAGTCTCTAATTTGAGTTTAGCCTAGATAATTAATTTATTGATGTCGTACTGATCCTTGTGTTTGTATGATTATAGAGACTGTACTGGAGTATTTGTGCTGCCTGATATTTGGGACTACACACCAATCTCTCTGGCTGACCTACGTTTTTTTGCAATTAAATCTGTTTGGTCAAAAACCATGCTGGCCGAAGAAACTGAGATGCTTACTTATGAGGACATAAACTAACTTGGAAAGTCCTGAAGATGCAGTGCTGTCTAATGCCGCTATTTCTGTATTACCCTTTCAACAATTGGGGTGTTGCACAGAGTATTGTGGTGAACATCCAGCAAACAGAAGAATTAAGAACTATGTGGAAGCTGACATTGTCTTGTTGTCAGCCATATTGCTACCCTTAGCTATGTTATGGTGTCTAAGATTATGGAACAAAGTTTATGGTGTCTAAGATTCTTTATACTCCTTGAAAGACTTATAATATTTTTCTGGACTATGCTGGACTATTGAACTATTTTGTTATTTTTATTTTTGTAGAGTTAGCCGGAGAGAGAGGAAGTGTTAGCTTACTCAGGCATGGATGTACTATGTGTGTCATTGATGTATGTTGAGTGTACCAAGGATGGATTCCAATGTATTAAGTGTGGATATGACTGGACTATCGAAATAGGGATTTGATTAGGAGGCATAGGACGCAAGGTCATGATTGGGATTATTGCTAGAATTGCAAACTGATTAGAAATGATCTTATGATTTAATATGTAAGTGGCCTTTTCAAACTAATCAAGAAGTGTTTCCCAATCCCGATACCTGAGCTATTTACTTACATAGTGCAGGTTTTATAAGTCACTAATGCTGTCAACGTGAGGGGATGACATGTTTACACAGTCATGGCCCTCACTTAGAATTTACCCAGATGTGCTTTTTTTCTCAATTATGAGTTTTTGCCACTGGGATTTTTGACCTGGCCCAAGTTCACTGGGTGGACTGGTAATCCAAGACCCTGGTCCAAAGAGGGGAAATAGATTTTATTCCCATTTTTGATTATATGTGTTTACGTTGTGAATTATAATAATAATATTCCCGTTGTTAGGAATAATACACTTTGCCTGTTTTGATCCAAGGCTCAAGTTACAGATAACATGATGTGCAGTATGTTTAAAATTGGTTAAGATGTCAGCTGTTTGAAATATTTAACTTGTACACTTAAAAGATGTGTACAACAGATGATTACAGAAGCTGAAAATCGACAGCTCGATCTCCTCTTAAAGGGAAAACCTACGGCATAGAGCAAATGGGGGAAATCGAGGTGAAGAAATAAGGAAAGTCCCGCAGACGTGATTAGCACGCCTGAATATACCTCCTTTCGTTTCTCTGCCGCAGGCCTCCCATGGATATTCCATAAGGTAGATCACGATATGATCTAAAGAGAGGAATTGTAGGATATGAATATCCATTTTGCTCTATATCCTAACTGTTCATGTAAGGGTTAATTTGAATCAAGAATAAATTTGGAATTGTATCTCATGTCACAATGACTTATCTATTTACAGGAAATGTTATTGGAACATGATTTTGTTATTTACATGACATGACATGATAAGGATTCTGGAATGACCTTGTTAATTGTCCAAGATTTCGGTATTTGTAATCATCTGGGTTTTATCCAATATGCATACATTATGTAACATCGAATTATAACTAAAAACAGCTGTTTATAACTTGTGAAAAACAATGTCATTGTCACGCCCATATGCTCATTTTTCCCCCTCCCATCCTGCTATGAAAATGGGGTATAAATATAACTGACGTATGAATACAATTTGAATTGGTTATTGAACACGTCTCTGCTATTCATTTCCAATTTCCAGAGCTCTGTATGAGTTGGCAAATATCCATCATCCACAAAGGGCCAGGCTGATTTTATCCCCAACAACTACCGAACGGAGGGCTATATTACCTAGGCTCTGCTGGTTCAGGAGGAAACTACCGATTGAGGTTTAAATGCACTTGGTTTCCTTACAACTGGTGGCAAGCGGCGGGATTCGAATCCCGAACGGACGTTTTAAAGCAAGCAAAGGAATGAATGGCTCAGCAGTACCAACAGCTTAAGAGAACCACGCTCAAGGATTTACTGGAAGCTCGAGGCGTAATAGCAAGCAACAAAACAAAAACCACGTTAATTGCAGAGCTGTTACAGTGCGACAGGACCGGTACTACAGAAATGGAGCGTGAGGAAGAAACTGAGATGCAGAAAGACATCAAGTGGATGCTCAGTTTATTGGGACCTAACCCAGCAACAGAGGCGGTTCTGCAGGTCATGGCACAAGCCAGGCAATCACAGAAGAAGCGAGATGACCGTGACAGACTGCTACAGGGGGATTTGCTGCACTCCCCGGGAAGTACAAATGACATGCCGAAAAAGGTAAATTATGCTGCATTTAAAAGCTTTAATGACAATGAGATGGAGATTGATAGTTATCTGCAGGACTTTGAAAGGCAATGTGCACTGGAGGGATTAGACTCCACCAAATGGGCTGCAGTACTGAGCAGCAAGTTGTCAGGCAGAGCATCAGAAGCGGCACGAGCAGTACCTGATGAGGATATTTATAATTATGGGAAAATAAAAGACATTTTGTTGGCTAGATATGCAGTTACCCCTGTGGCATACAGGAAGAAATTCCGGGAACTGAGGAAAACAGGGAGGGATACCCATACTGAATGGGCATTCCGGCTACACAGGGCAGCCCGAAATTGGATGAAGGGCTGCCAAGCAACCACTCTGGAGGATGCTTTACAATGCCTCCTATTAGAACAATTTTTTAACCATACTGCAGAGGATATCAAGGACTGGGTTAAAGACAGGAAGCCTAAAACTGTGGAGGAGGCAGCAAGACTGGCAGATGAATACCAGGATAACCGGAGGCGAGAACAAGGGGTGAGCCGACCTGTGTTTAAACAGCCTTATTCAGCCCCAACCACGGCTGCACCACCTAGAGCCCCCCTGAGTAATCCGCCACACAACCCAGCAGCAGCACCCCGACAACCTGCAGTGTGTCACTACTGCAAACAGCCAGGACACTTTAAAAACCAGTGCCCACGTTTAAACCAGGGAAGCTGGGAAAGGCAACATCCACAGTCCCAACCCAGGGCCGCTGCTCATTGTGTACAGCAGGGTACCTACCCACGAGGTACAATGGAGTGTGTTGCACGAAGTCAACCCCGTGCAAGCCGGGGGTGACAACCGGGACCACCACCGTCAATGGATTACTGTAGACGGGGTGGGGGACCGCGCCTTAAGAGACTCTGGGGCCACGTTAACTGTGGTTCAACCTCACACTGTCAAGGCCGAAACTCACACGGGCCGCACTGTGGCAGTAAGAGTAGCCGGGGGTGCCATTCACAAACTACCTACGGCTAAAGTCCTTGTGGATTGGGGCTCGGGATCTAAACAACTAGAGGTTGGCATTATGCAGGAGCTACCAGCCGAAGTACTGTTGGGGAATGATGTGGGCTGTTTAACTTCCCAGCTAGCCCGAGACACCGCATCCGAAGCCTATCTGGTTACCACCCGAGCTCAAGCCAGACTGGAAGCACCGCCGCACTCTGAGGAAACCCAGGTAGGAGTTGAAATCCCCCCTTTACCCGACCCTCCTTCCCCGTTCTGGGATACTCCCCAGGGGTTTGAGCAGGAACAAAGGACTGACCCCACTCTAGACGGGTATAGAAAAGCAGTAGGGAACAATAGGGGCGACAACCCCCACGAAAAGTTTGAGTGGCACAAGGGACTGTTGTATAGGGTGACGGATGGGGCGGGACACGGAACCGCCCAGGTTACTAAAAGGCAGCTAGTAGTGCCCCGCAAGTTTCGGGCTGAGTTATTAAGACTCAGCCATGATATTCCCCTAGCCGGATATTTAGGGGTTAAGAAAACTAGAGACCGGCTGAGCCAAACCACCTTCTGGCCCAGGGTCACTCAAGGCCTCAAATACTATTGCAGGACCTGTGACGTTTGCCAGAAAATAGGGAAACGGGGTGACAACCAAAAAGCGAAACTTCACCCGTTACCCATCATAGAGGAGCCGTTCCACTGGGTAGCGGTAGATTTAATAGGACCCCTCAGTCGGCCCAGTCAGTCTGGTAAAAAGTTCATACTCACCGTAGTGGACTATGCCACTCGGTACCCCGAAGCCGTGGCCCTCCCCAATATAGAGGCTGAAACCGTAGCCGAGGCCCTGGTCACAATATTCTCCCGGGTAGGTTTTCCCCAGGAGATCCTATCCGACAGAGGGACTCAGTTCACAGCTCTCCTGACACAACAGCTGTGGCAGAGCTGTGGAGTGAAAGCCCTCTTTAGCGCCCGATATCACCCTCAGACCAGCGGTCTCTGTGAACGTTTTAATGGCATGCTCAAGCAAATGCTAAAAACGTTCGCAGAGTCCTGCAGGAACTGGGAGAGGTATCTTCCCCATCTTCTGTTTGCCTATCGTGAGGTGCCCCAGGCATCCACGGGGTTTTCCCCCTTCGAACTCCTGTTCGGGAGAAAAGTTCGGGGCCCCCTGGATCTCGTACGGGAGCACTGGGAGGGCAACATGGATGATGGGGGGGATCCCTATAGTCCAGTACGTACTGGAATTCCGCCACCTGCTGCGGACTCTCACCGAATCAGTTCGGGAGAACCTGCAGGCGGCCCAGGACTGCCAAAAGAAGTGCTACGACAGGGGTGCCCGAGAGAGAGTCTTAGACTTGGGCCAAAAAGTGCTAGCTTTGAGACCCGCCAAGAAGGATAAGCTCCAGGCGGCTTGGCAGGGACCCTTTAAGGTGGTAGAGCGAATAAGCGATACCACCTACATTGTAAGTAAATGTTCAGATGAAAGACTGACCAAAGTCTTCCATGTAAACATGTTAAAGCCTTACTACGAATGAACGGAAGATGTCGGCACCGTATGCGCCCCCTCTTCCGAAGATAGCGAGGGACTCCCGCTCCCCGATCTGTTAGACCCCTCACCCTGCAGTATTGACCAGGTCAGCCTTGGTCAGAACCTACAACCTCTAGAGCGACAGGAAGCGTCCGGCCTGCTCCGGGAATACCAGATCATGTTTTCTGCCATCCCAGGGTATACCTCCGCTGCGGTACACCGGGTAGAAACCCAGGGAGAGACGCCACTACGGCAGCAACCATACTGTATTCCCGAGGCCGTGCGTGAGAGCATGCTGGCAGAAATTACCGACATGCTCAAGTTAGGTGTAATAGAACCCTCTCAAAGCCCTTGGGCATCTCCGGTAGTACTAGTACCGAAGCGTGATGGCACCACACGCTTCTGTGTAGACTACCGGAGGCTCAACGACTGCACCATAACGGATGCATACCCCATGCCCAGAATAGATGAGTTACTGGACCCTATGGCATTCGGTAGGTAAAACTACTGAATCCAGACCACCCTGTTGCCCATTATACAGACTGTACCTCTTTGCTGGCTGGATTACGTTTGACAGAAGTTCTGCACGAACGGCATGTCTCGCCGCCATTTCGGGACTTCCACGTGTTCGCGGCCATTTTAGCTCCCGAACAGTGGTGTTTGCCGTTGAGTGTCTGGAACTGAAAACGGACACTCAAATAGGCGAACACCGCTGAAGCCTCCAGACCTTCGGTAAACCCTCTTCCAAACTACCGAACGACCGGGCGTTCGGTAGAAAGACTTACTAACGGATGGGGAATCAAGCGAACCAAGGATGGTAGCTGGTAGCTGGATGGCCAGCCGTTCGGGAGGTTTTTCATGCGACCTAAGACCGACTGCAGGGCCAGAATTCATGGAACTGTTTTCGGCTACTTTGCCTGTGCAGTCGGTCAAAACTTCTAAGTCCCATATCTCCCGAACGGCTGAACCGAATGAACTGAGTTTTTTTATATGTTGGTCCCCCAGAGAACAGCTACCTGGGGACAAGTCGTTGGGGTACATCCAAACTCTGGGGAAGTTCTGTTACGTTTTAATTGTGTTTAATGGTTATCTGAGGGGAGGAGATGTACAGTATGTATATTGTTAGGATTGGATGTATAGCTAATTATATGGGAGGCTCCCTTGCGTGGGCAGAATCCCATAAAAAGAGCATGCCTGTCAATAAACCTTTAGTTCATCTTTGTACCCTTCTTCTGACTACGTATGCTGTTTGGGAGTTCGTGTGTTTTACTGTGGGAATTATCCAGGGACACTATTGGAATTACAATTGGGATTCATCTACCATAACTACCGAACGGAGGGCTATATTACCTAGGCTCTGCCGGTTCGGGAGGAAACTACCGATTGAGGTTTAAATGCACTTGGTTTCCTTACACTGTTCATCTTGCGTTGAAAGGTAGCTTCCAGTTTGCCCAGCATGTCGATAAGATCTCCTTTGGAAGGTAAGTTTCTGATTAGATGTCGAGGTCTGTAGAGCTTGCTGAGGCTTTAGATGCCGCTGGGCATACTCTTTAAACAATTTGGGGACAGAGCCCGTTTTACCCGCCGGGGTCTTCCCGGAGCTTGTGTGGGTGTTGTGGTCCTTTTGGGATTCCCCATTTCGGCTTGTAGAGTCCTCTGTGTGGTATTATGTGCCTGCTTTGCCCGGAGCTGCTCTAACATGCGGCCATTCCCTTTGTCAGTTGGCCACACCCCCCTATATGGGGCATATTTGTGTATTATTGAGACTAAGTAGGTTGGAGCAGCATTGTGTAGCGATTTGTAAGCAAATATCAGGATCTTAAATTGAGTCATATCTTATGGGAAGGCATTGTAGGGACTGACAAAGGGTGGAGGCGTGGGTGGTGCGGGCGGACAGGAAGATGAGCCTCGCCGACACATTTATTATAGACTGTAATGGGGTAAGTTGGGAACATGAAAGACCACTGAGAAGCGGATTACAGTAGTCAAAGCGGGAGGACAGCGGCAAGGAAAAAAGCA